ATGCCATCACGGTGTCTTCGTCTTATGACGAAAATTCCTTGGGACCTCGAAGTGCCAGGTGAGTCCGTAAAAATGAACAGTTCCGTGCGCGTTCTTAGCCTTTCAGAAATGAGAAAAAAACCAGTGTCGAACTACGCCGCGCCTGAAAGGAATGTTGGTGTCGTGGGGTTAATTACCGGGTTGCTGCTGTTTAGGGTGCCGTATTTCTTTTTTTTTTTACGCTCATCGTTCAGCTCTATTATGCGCGTTTAAACCGTAATTTATACTCACGGGATGCTTCTCTTTTACTCGTATATTATACAAACCGAATACGGTATAATGCATATACTACGTAGTCGATAAGCTAGAGTATTGTTATTCGGAGTTGGAGGTTACTGTTGACCTATGGCCTTGCTATAGAGGTGTTTAGCCCCCTGACGATTGAATTATTCTTGAAGCCCTGGAAGGGTGTGTCAAGCCTTTCTGCTGAAAATTATTTCCGCGATAAGAGCAAAAGTGATCGCCTCATCGAAGTGAACGTGTTTATATCGCAAAATGAACATTCGGGATCACTCGTCTGTGACCTAGCACAGTAGGATAAATTCCATATTTTAACTAATGCAGCAATTTTTTCGTTAACAACGAAAGTGAAAGGGGAAACTGAAGGCCCATGAAAGCCATGAATCTAGTTTCCATGTGGTAAAACATAGAACCTCGATGAGTAGCTATTGCTCTAGTACAATACGTTTAGCACGAGATGAAATCAGCGTAAAACGTTTTTCGATGATGGTGCATTTTCGGCTCGTTACTTTTCCAAGTCTTCTTTGTCGGGAGTCAAAGGATTTTTATGCTGCGCTATTTTGTTTATGATCCCTGCGGAAATAGGCTGTAATGCTGTTGCGACGGAGTGAACCGGAATTAATGTTTCACTGGCGCGACGGAGATTCCCGAACCGCCTGCAAACGCAGACTCGCGATGCTATTCCGTGTGCTATGTTCACCCTGGTAACGGCTGCTACACACGGGTACGTGCACGTGTGAGGAACCAGGTTGGCCGGCAGTTGCGGTTGGCGGGTGTTTACGACATGTATATGAAGTCCCTTATCCACTTTGAATTTCGTGAAACGAGTTTAACTCCGGCTACCTGCTTACTCAGCCTTCACGCACTGAGTACTTCAGTGGAGATCTCGCAACCTGAATTTTAAAGCTTTTCAGCCGCTTTCCTTGGGATCGGTTCGGCGCCAGGTTTCACCGGAAAGTCCGCACTGGTCGTTGTGAGTTCGGGAACATCTTAATGCCTTTTCTCCTTCTAAGGAATGAGCATTTTTTCGCTTAGTTTTCACGAAAATTTCCGGGAAAATGTTCATGCCATGGAGGCGAGAACCAGGCATGCTCGAAGTCTCTGGGGCTCCAGTACTCCAGAGATTTGTAAAACATTCCATCTTGAATGGAAGGTCACTATGTCAGTCTGTCTCTATGCGAAGTATCTGCTAGTAACAACGTTAAATTTCCAAATTTCGACTATTGTGTGCAAATCTGGTCGGCCTATTATCCTTTTTCGTGCTCGTGTTTCCGTCGAATCGAACCCAACTTCGTTTAGAAGACTGGAATAGCACACCAGGTAGGGTGGGCCATCATGGGGAAGGCTCAATTGCCCACCCTCATGCGAGATTACGAAGGAAAGCTCCTTGTGCTACGGGAAGCGTTGCTTAAATTGCGAGCGAGGAACAGATTCGTGACGAATCTCCATGTTCGTGTCATGCGAAAAGGTGCGTTAGATTCCTGTGGTAATTGCGGTCGTTAATAGGTGAAGCAAGCGGAAAAAGCTTCCGGTGCGGCCCGAGGAACCCAGCTACGTTCAATGCTTTATGTCGGAGTTGACTGGAAATACTTCGGACCGTTCCGAATATTGTATGAAAAATTGAGCCGTCTTTCGCGACCTATTTCCTGCACTGGCTTTCTGCGTGCAGTCTTATTGCGGAACTTTCGTACTTCGCCGAGAAAGGAAAATGAAAAATAAAATCTGCATTTTTTCCCGTACGCGGGCTCTAACCTTTAAATTATTTTTTTCGCGTTGCCCTGATTTTCATTCGATCGAAGGAAGAAAGATCCAACGTGTAGATGCGGCTTTTCGTGCCTATTCCAGGATCTGCTTTGTGATGAGCCCTGGATTCCAACGAAGTTCCGTCGCGAGTATCGATTAGGCTTTATTCGCTCATTCCCCTTCCAGAACAATATCATGGAACAGCTGCTCAGCGATTTCTTCGATTTAAGCAAGTTTGCCGAAATTGAAGCCGTGTGGAACTTCAGTTATGGAATAATCCTAAATTATTTCGTTGCTTTTGGCCGCGACCATGCGAAACAATTCCCACCGTATCCAACAGTTGCGTAGCTTAAAAGAAATGTTGAGTCATTTTTTGACAGGAGGAAAATCCGTCGGTGTATAGAGAAATTGATTTCAAGTTTCATCATTTCAGCAAATTCAAATCTTCTTCCGAAGGTCTTCACAGAGCCCGACATTCTCGTGTGGTAGGCTTCTCTCAAGTGCCGGGCGCATTTTAAATCCAAAATGTTCAAGTTTTAGGGTCTACCATTCCCCCCTCCCCAGCATCAAATCGCTGCAGAAAATCAAGGTACCTCGCTTAGTCTCACACGGCCTGAAATTGCGTAAATAAGGTAATTGAATCAGTAACGGAAGTGCCCGGCAGTCGCGCGAAATTTGACACCCGTGCCTGGGAGATGGGGAAAAAAGGAGAGTGACAGAAAGATCCTGAGGTGTGAGCAATTCTCGAATCCACATGGGGGCGCGCTTCTTCCGGAGCTCCTCGCATTTCGTTTCAAGCTCGCCGTATCGAACGCGTATTGATGAAGAATCCGGGATATGGAGGAGTTCACCGGTTGGCTCGCGAGGAAGTTTCTCGAACTTGATGCTGTAGTTGAAAGCCACAATTCATCTTTGGGACGTGGATCGATCCATCTTCACTGTGCCTTTGCTGGGTGGTTCTGCCGGCGCGAATCGGTAAACTTTCACGATCCTCAGAATCTGGACGGAGGGCAAGAGTTTCTGAATCTCTTTATGATAATCGGTGTCGTCTTCGATGAACCGCTACGACTTGACATGTGATGTCCTGTTAACACAGCCTGAGTACAAACTGAACTTGAGTTTGTGAGTTTTTGAGATCTGGTCAAACTTTGGGTCCGGAGGGAAGAACATTCTTTTATACACAAGCCCTGCATTAAGGTCAGCGCAAAACTTCGTAATTCTGCGATGATGCGGAACTTAATGCAACAAAACAGCCGTTCCTTCTTATACAGTAGAAAACTTTCGCTGTCATACGTGTATCATCGAGTCAAGGCATATCTACGACTTGTTCAAGTTCCGCCAATTCATTACATGCTTTAAATTTTACGTATCCATTCTTTGGGGGCATCATTTGCAATTTGATGAGCTAGTGATCATCAAAGATTGTGGATCATCTTTCATGCTTTTCCATGTCTATTTTCCGCATGTAATTAAAATCGACCTGACCTGATTGGTAACCTGTGCATAACTAATCTAACTGAACTCATTACACTGGAAACGACTTTGGAGGATAACGAAATTGAAAGCGTGCCTACGATGTATCTTTCTGCATGTTGCCACGTTTACTCAAATCGAGGACAAACTGTGTGTTCGATGTGCACAGCATTATTCGGTAGCTTAGGCAGGAACGAAGTTTTTGATGGGTAAAGTATTCAGATCATTACATGAATAAATTGTTGTACAGTAGTTGGCTCATGAATCGAACATTTTAGTTCGAGCTCCAAAGGTACAATTTATGCAATTAGATTTGGAATGTTTTCGCGGAATTATCCCTAATTGCTAAAAGGGAAAGGTAAAACGGCTGAACCCACTTTTTTATTTGTTGCTTGTGTGAAAAATACGCAGACGTTCGTTTCGCAAGAACAAGCACGTAAATATTTTCGATGAATTTCCAATCGGAATAGCTGATTTGCACGCTTTGGATGGAAATACCAACTTGTCGGTTTTCATGGGAATTTTCGAGTGTTGTCGGATTTTATAAAGTGACTATTTTACGACTGGAGAATAAATGAAGCTCACTTTCTGTTTCGGCGGAGTCATTTGAACCTTAAAGTTTCTTGATCTTGCTGTGCGATGCACTGTACGTACAGAGAGACTGTCGTGTTGCAATGAATTTTATCTCAATTTGCGAAGTGAAGACTCATCGAAGACCATAATTTTTAACGCTAGTTTTTGTATATCTAATACTGTATTCTTACTAACTCAGAGATTCAAATTCTGCGTTATCGCGCAATACTGTATTCCTAATTTGTATCAAGTTAGTAACAATTAAGTGGTCAAAATTGCTGATTTTTCTATGCTACTGAAAACGTTAATTTTAACTTTTTATTTCTTGACAGAGACATTTTTGAATCGAGCAAAAACGGCTTAGGCTATGGAACATCATAACATCCACAAAACCATGTTTCTTGACTGGCGAAATGGGGCGCTCTGTTGGATAAACTTCTCATGTCATTGACTCATTGGCCCTTTCCTCTGTTATTCATTCAGTTGATATTGTATTGTGATTTGTGGCAGAATATTTTCTGACATTCACGTTCATATTTCATTTCAGAATTTTTCTTATGAAATGGACCGTTGGTCTCTCAAGGGCCATACTATTGAGATATAATTTAAATGAAAGTTATTACATTGGCTGCAAGACTGTTATCTGCATATAAATGTTAAGAGAAAGTCTTGGAAGTAGAAAATCTTTTCTCTCACTTTGCCTGAAACCTTGGTTTGAATGCTTGATGAAAGCGCGCGGATGCTTATTAAAAATGCAATCCTCGAGTTTTCTGAAGCTTTTCGTTGGCATGCACAGTCGATTTGCATTTTAATTGTCGTCAAAACGCGAGTGGAAAATATTTGCTGCGTCACGAAAAGCGGTTCTTGTCCGAATTGTCCTCACGAAGGTTCGTTTCCGCTGTCGTACACAAACGGGACCCACTCTTATACCAATGCGGGCCGTTCCTTTTAACATCGGTCATGATCATCAGTTGTCCTCGTCCAGGCAGTGATTCAAACGACCACACATTTTCTCCAATTAGTTTGATTGTCCGAAAAATCGTTGTACATTACTTCTAAGCATGGGCCGCCGAACTGTGGGAATAGATACGCGTATACATTATAGACTATACAATATCTTGCTAGCCGTCCAGCACCTTCGAGGTTAGGTTATTTTTAGGCAATATTATGAAAAGCGTTCAATGAATATGATGAATCGTAAAGATAAAAATAGCCGGCGGGCAGGTGGAAAACAATTCTGACCTCCATTCCAACAGAGAGTTATTATCTATGAAGACTCGTGCTTTTTCTCAGCGGATTTTCGAGCGATAGGACCCGAAGAGCGTTTAGTTTTTAAACTTGGCGGAGTCTGTATTTCCGAACGGCGCGTACAAGAGATGGATCTTCTTCAGAGGAATTTCTCCCGCTGACCTTATTCTAAAATAAATTTCTACAATGAAGTCATTTTGAAAATATATTTGAATAACGAAGCCCCTCAAGTCAGTCCTATGTTTTTAAAATTATTCAAGGGTAAAATTATTTATTCCTTGAATTCGGACATAGTTAGCCTTTGTCCGAATTTCACGCGTCCCAAGTTCTTAAATTCCTTCCCATTAATGCTCGTATTTTTTTGGAGTGGCCGCGGAGCCTCTGAGAAATGCAAACAAATCACTTGAGGCTCCGCGGAGCGCATGTTCAAAACCTCTGTTCTACATTATTCAGCGTATTCCTCCTGAAGAGAAAAAAGTCCTCGAGCCTTTTCCGTTATGCGGAATACCTTTCAGAATTTTTATTTCTGCCCACTTGCTATTTTCGTTCGAACGGCTTCTTGAAGATTTTGAATTCTTGGCCAGGATCCGACAAGAAATACACGCAGGAGCGTGGTGTCCACGCTCTTCAATATCAGATAGCGTTGTGGAGTGGTTGGAGATCGATCTGCGATCCACGTTTGTCATCATCGGCATGGAAACGCAAGGCCGCCACGGCATGGGCCTCGGGAAAGAGTATGCAGAATTCTACAGGATCATGTACATGCGGCCAGGCTTCAATGAGTGGAGGCCATACCGAGACCGCAAGGACAACCAGGTTAGTTTGCTCCTTACTTCAGCGCACGAACATCGATATTGTCACAATCTGCTAACTCCTCTGAAGTCTTCGCCACTCGATGAAAACCGAATGTACAAAATCATTGGTCCTCAATTGATCCGGTTTTGACCCAATTACTGTATTTCTATTTTGACCGAACCTGTCTGTTCTTTTGGGCGGCTACTTCCATTTCGCGTCCACGATGAAGAGAATAAGATCCACACGAAATTAATAATCAGGAGGAAAGGAATAATCAAATCGCATCCACGAGAAATTTACTGTACAGTGAGACCCCCAGATGCGGACGTAATTGGCACATCAAGAGTGTCCCTAAGTTGAATTGTCCCTAAGTCGAGTCTTGTTTTCCCATAGACTTACATTTTATATTTTTTAATTGGTGTTTTATGGAAGAAATATTCTTCAGAATTCCATGACAAAAATTGTTTGCCACTTGAATTTTATTCTGTGAATATATTTTCAACTCAATAAGTGAATGGATCGGAAAATGATGGGAGAAATGACAAATTATTTTTCTTGCATAAATCTTAGGGTTGGAAATATCTGTTTCTTGCAATCAAGCCAAATAAAAGTCAATTTTTGTGAAATTTATTGGCAATTTTAGCATGCCATGTCCTCATGTCGAGTCAGTGTCCGTATGTTGGGCCTATTTTATGCCCTTTTTATTGAAAAATAAATGTCCCTATGTCGAATTGTCCTCATGTCAAGGTGTCCGCATGTGGGGGTCTCACTAGTGGAAAATACATGCATCCATCCGATGGAGGACGTGGGGTAATATCATATACAAATATACAATACTGTATGTCGTACGGTACTGAATTTTCCCCACTTTGCGGAAACAGTTCTCTGGGACAGCACCCGTTTCAAGCAGATGAAAACACTCAAGTGACCTAGTTATAGATTTCGAATCCGTTATGAGGTGATTTTTGAGGATCTCTTTCCCACTGGGTGCTATCTGTCTGGGTGTTCTTTTCCTGACTTGACACCGATATGGTAATTGTTTCACTTCGTAGCGAGCGCGTATTCGGCTGCCTGATGAAGAATGGAGATGCATTCATATGCAGGTACTCGGATGAGCCATCAGCCGTACGTCTTGCAATTTTGATCAATCTGGTACACCTCTCGTGTGGATAAATTATTTAAATGTTTGATTGCCATAATTCAAGTGTTCAGACGTAGTACTACAAGTTTTTCGGGGTGTGGTAGTTTCAGTCTTCCGGAAACTGAATTCTTGGTCGAAAGTAGCCGTACTATTTCCGGAAACTACCGAATGCAAGGCTTCAAGAGGGAGTCACTAAAATAGAAGGATTTTCGCAGTTGCAAAATCCGGAATGCTGACGAGTGTTTCGGCGACCTTTTGTTTTCCCCAGGTATTCGAGGGAAACAAGGATACACGGGACTCCAAGTTCAATCGGTTGGACCCTCCGATCATTGCCGACAAAGTCAGGTTCATCCCGTTCAGCAAACACGTTCGCACTGTTTGCATGCGGGTGGAGCTGCATGGTTGCAATCACACGGGTGAGTGTTTTGTGGACTCCTTTGACGCGAAAGGCGGCTTCCATAATGTACGGAAATTAGCTGAATGTAAAAGCCAAAACGATTCTCTATCGATCTGGTTATTACGAGAATATTATAGCAGTTTGTCAAAGTTGGCAACGCTATGAAACGCAGGGTATTACTCCGTCGTTCATTCGAATCCCGTGTCAACCTTCATAAATTTACACTTTTTACTTCGACGTCCTGTCTCCTGATCGTGAAATACTGTATCACTGAAAACATGAATATGAATAGGAATATTCATGAGGCACACACGTCAGACACTCGAGTGTGCACAATTCTCCGTGCGAACGTCGTATCGACCTTTTCGGCTATGTTGCTTCTGCTGGCGAATGTTCCAGAATCAAATCAAAGCAAATGAAAATTCGACTGTTCAGCTGCACTCAGTAGATGAATAAATGCGAGTGCACGTGTCTCCCGAACGAATTTAATCAATAACGAAGAAGGAGAGAAAAATAATCATCCGTAAAGACTGCACAGTCTGCAGCATGTGCGTTCGGTGTGACTCCTGCTCGTCTGGTCGGAGCGCGTAGTTACATATCGAGGCAGATAAGACAGTTTCTTATTTGTTGACGGACATAAGGAATTGTGTTAAGAGATTTGTTTACTGAGCTGTAAATGATTTCGCAGAGGATCTGGTGAGCTATTCGGCGAGACAGGGAGACGCGTTGTCTTCCGGGATCATGATGCATGATTGGATTTACGACGGGGGGATTTCCGCGGACGGGTGGCTGCATAACGGCATCGGGACACTGTATGACGGCAGACTCGGGCTCGAGGATTTCAAACATGACAGCCACTCCTGGGTCGGCTGGAAAAGGTCCAGCGCGAGCCTTTTACCTGGAACGACGGAGCCCTTCCTTCGATTTTCATTCCACTTCCAGACCCCCGGCAATTTGTCAGCCATTCTCATCCACATGAACAACAAGTTCTCCGATGGAATCCAGGTTTGTGTCCCGGCTTTATTTTCTCGCCCGGTCGCGTGTCCTGCAGTTTACCGGAATTCATTACTTCCGAATCCGGCGACGTCCATGTGTGTGTGTGCTTCCGCGAGCGCTACACTCCTTCATTAATATTCCGAGAGGACGCAGATTCGCTCGTCTCCTGAAGTCTTGGATTAATCGTCAGTCGCGCCGAGCCTGCAAAGCCCCCGGAACGCGGAAATCTCACTTTCCCTTCTCACACCCTGCACGCATTCTTCGCCAACCGCACAATAAGTGAAGGCAATGACAAAATAGAGCCATCCCTGAGCATACGTTGAGATGGCATTTGGACTCTCCAACTCAGAGGTTCTCAACCTTTTTGAACACGGGGGCCCTTCTTGGAATAAGTGTACTGTACATGGCGGAGCCAGATTAATGACAGGGAGACGCCACCAGTATATTGTACTTGAGGCAAATTATTTTTCGTGGCCTTCCTCGAGTCAGTCATTGTAGTCCAAACTCGATTTGCGTTGGCCCTGCGCTTAAACCATTTACATCTCCATGAACAAGTGCCAATAAATTCTGCTTTTGCCTCTTCTTTCACTTCATAGTGACTTAGTTCTCTCGTGCTTTCCGGGGACAGCCGCGGAGCCCCAGGGAACTCTGACGGAGCCTTGATGGAGTACCGGTTGAAAACCTCCGCTTTAAATGTTCTGCACGTTGCGGTAGCATGGCTTAAATTTAAAGTAATTTTTGAAGTATAAACCGGAACATTTCGTTTTTCTTCTGCGATTCGATTTTCTGAAACGCCCAGCATTTTTCTTCATCCGTCTATAGATGCCTCACTGTGGGTCTAATGGAAATCTTGATGCGACAGGCTCCACTCCACGAAAACGGGAATTCGTCACGACATTTTTGTTTTCTTAGAATTGCCTGCATAGCGTTCATTCATTTTTTTGGCTAATGAATCACTTGGAGTAGAAGAAACGAAGTGAAACATTTTGGTGAGTTATTTTGCTCAGATAAACGGGACAGAGAAAATTATTCTGCCACAATCAAAATCTTTTTGTTTTCGTCACCATCCTGTCAAGAAAGGAATGAGGATATGTTGGAAGCATTTCCAGCAACCTTGAGATATCATTGGAAGCAGTGGGGAAGTAGTGCCGGGTTGATCGCTTGAGGGCGAGCACAACTCAGACATTCTTCGTGCAAAACACTAGATCGCTTCAAGGAATTAAGTTACATTTTTCTCCGTATTACTTTTTCAACGCATGCGAGCTGATCGTACCAATGGAACTAAAATGATGTAATTGGACATTATTTGAAAGTTAATTAGATACACTTTAATTGACGTCTTTCAACGGGATAACTCAAACCGTTCAAGTACAGTACTTTGAGAGATGCCACAGCAAAATAGATATACTGTACTGTACAGTAATTTCTTCTGCCCAATCTGTGTGACGAGCGTTTAATTTAATTAGTTCAAATACAGACTCTTCGGAACTCGAGCTTGTTAGCAGACGTCAATTATTAACGCGTAATGCGATTCAGTTTGCAATTTCGTTATCCCCGTTTCTCGTTTTCTAGGAGAAACAAACAAACAGTGCAGTACTGGTACTGTATATGAATAATGGTTAAACCGCTGGAACTGCATGTTCGGAGGGTTTATGTGAAGCCTTTCGCAATAACTTACGGATTTAAGGACAAATTGCTGCGCTATAATTGTAGATGTGTTGAAATCCTGCGAGTGGCGTTGACGTTCGGAAAACGTGCATGCTTAATCACCCTCTTTCCTTGGATCGTGGTTCTAGTTTCGTTGCTGTTGACGTAAGCTTCTCGTATTGTTTCGAAGTTTCGCTCGCGCATTGGAACCGCTTCGTGACCTCTTGGAAGTAAAATGTTGTACACGACCGCAAGACGGGGAGTTCTCCTCGAAAGCGTCACGCGGGCTGTAAGATACAAGTCCGAGAGTCATCCACGGCTCTTGGCGATTCCAGTCACGATGCCGTCTAATGGCGCAGTAATCAACGTTTATCGCCCTGCCAAAGACACCTGTTTTGTGGGAGTCTTTTTCTCCGCACTCATCTTGCTCCTAGGGGTGATGTACCCGCGATGAGCTTCCTGTGTGGACCACGGAGAATACGGAAAATGTCCGATTTCTTCGCCGAGACCGATTTTAAAAATCATTTCGGTAAAAAGAAGATGAGGAATTTCAGACTTTGGATGACCGTTCAAAATTTATTAGGATAATTTATTTGTCCGCCAAATTTATTTTCTCTCCCTGTTGATTTTACCGCTGTAAATGAAAAAAAAATCTTTCGACAGTGCAACTAAAATGAACCCGTCCATCCATGAGAGCTTTCAGAGTTAATGATTTCTAAGCGTTTACGGCTGGTTCAGCTCAATCAATTGAGATTGATTCAGTAAATTCGGATTTACTAGTTATGATGACATGCTGAAGAATCTGGTGAATCATTCCGGAATCCGGACAATGTACAAGATTTTAATACGTTTAGTTCTTCCGCGTCCTGAAATTTTCGAAGCTAATGCTTTGCATTTTGAATGCGTATGCAATACATGCTCGAAATATATTCTGGAGACACACACGACTTTTTTTAATATGATGCAGTAAACCGAAGTATGATTATCGTGTTGTTTTCAAAAACCCAGGAATGACGAAAGGGTTATTTTTCTTTGAATAAATTTCAAACGAGTTACGGTTTCAATCTGTGCCCTGTTCTAATGTGAATCAAGCGCGTTCTGCGGGTACTCTGTTTATACTGTAAAATGAACCACGGATTACATTCAATTATTCGAGCTTCGATTACCAGTGCCCGAAGTCCAATTGATTTAGAAGAAGAAAAATTTCGCCTGCATACAGAATCAATTATAACTTCAGTCGTTTTACTTCGTCCATAATTTGCACATTTTTTTTGGGCCAGTTCACTTCGAGATTTCTACGGTTGCCGCTTGCATGATGTCGAGTCTTTTTTCAATATAGCATTTATCTCTTGATCAACGTTTTTCAAGTGTTCGATTTTTTAAGCGAATGCACCGGGTCATTATCAGCTGGAGTAGTCGGAGTCCCACCGCAGTTCACGTCGACGAAGTGTCAGTGATCGGAAGTGTCCCGGCTTGAAAGTCAGATGAGAATGAGGCAGATCTAGATTCCCTTAGCCACATACTATTTCCTCCGCCAAGGCGAATGCAAATCAAGACGAGAGCGCGTGATGCTCGTCGGTTCATTCGACATGCGAACGCCCCGGTTGAGTTGAGACCGATGTTGCGAAAGCGCGTAGTGATGCCTCTTGTAGTGGTTTTGTTGGCGCATCATGGAGCTTAGCTCGCGAGATTCGAGTCGGGCACTTGGTACGATCGCGCCTCCGGGTGAGTCCAATTGGGCTTTTAATCCACGCAGGACGAAGGAAAACGGCCGTGTTATAAAAATGCTGCTTTGTTCTCCTTGCTGTAATGTGGGTACGCAATCATGGATCATCTCGACATGATGGCCGATCATGATTGCCTTTCTCACCTCGATGGGCATTTATAATTCGTTCTGCAAAAATGCGCAATACGAGGGACGGCACGCTAGTTTTCTCAGTACAGTGCTTGGAGTTTATTTTCCGTGGTTACCGTAACCCCGTTTTGGAATCGTAATCCTCTGAACTTCTACAGAGTCAAAACCAGTACGGGCCCAGTAACAAGACTTGAAACACGCCTCCCTGCAAAATACTGCGCATCTTTAGTTTTAGTTCAGAAGTAAGTGGCGATTTATTATTCATTGATTGATATTGTTTTGTTGTGTGCCATTTCTTCTTTAACGTTTATAATTGCAAAATGTCAACGATCGGAGCTTCAATGTTTGATTTTCAGATGGGAGGAATCGTCACTGCAGAAGAATTTTAATTTTAATCTCAATTTTTAACCACACAAGAACCACTCGTGAGCTTTCGGAGTTGTATACAGGTCCAGCAATTCGACCCGAATCCGTTGCTGGACTAGGATCAAATTGCGAAATGGTCAAATAGCGAGACACTCAGTAAAATCAAGGGCAAACAGCACAAAAACACTAGAAAAAATGCTGAAACAGGACGAATTTTGGGAGAGAGGTCGAATTGCAAGTCGACCTCCCAGCAAATTCGACCATTGCAGGATGGTCGAATTGCGTGGTACTACATGTATTGTCTTGATATGCACGAGGCTGAACCTTGTTTATTCACATTGGTGAAATATTTTTTCAGCTCACTGTCTTCTCTCCCTTCCAACTTGCAGAAGCAAACATTTGAACATCGGTCAGGAAATGTTCTCATATAATCGTATTGCACTTCGAAAATTACATCCATGCGTCAAAGATCCCACAGCATTACAGTAAGGGACGCAAAAGAACAACCAAAAGTACTATCCATTGTAATGTACTGTACTTCGTTTGTCAGCTTTTCAGCAAAGAAATGTACAGTGTTTCTGGGAGAGTTAGCATGCGACAATATAAAGGAAATTTCTATTAAAAAGTAAACTCTTCGTGGGACAGGGGATGTGAATTCCGCTGGTCGTTTTTCTCTCGTTTTTGTCAGTTTCTGAGCTTTACGCACTTGTCAACCTTGTCGATCTCGATTGCCCTATTTCCGTCACAAATTCGAGATCGCAAGGTCTCAAATGAGTTGCAGCATTGGAAATTCGTATTTCACGATCCTTGGTTAATCATTTGTTCGTTTTGCGTCGAAATTTATCCGGACAGCGAGAAGGATGTCGATTGTAAAGCTATCACTTAATTTTACATGTCCTCGTCAAAGACGAACGGAAAATCTCGGACCTCTTAACTGCTTGGGCATTTTTTTCATGCGTAATAAGTGTTCAGATAGTGCTGCATGTTCTAGTCTAGTGCATTGGTATCGCATGTTCGGATAAATCCGCCCTGAGAGGATGAGAGGCCGGTAGTGGATCTGTTAGGTGCCTAACTAGGTATATCCGAGACCTAAGCCTTATTAAGAGTTGAAGCCTCTCGGTGTGAATAAACCCTGATTGAGTGTTGATACCCGTGGAAACCCGGATGCTCACGCATGGACTAGCGCTTTGCCGTCTTCCGCGAGATTTACGGAGATCATGCGTAATGCCTCATTAAGTCGGGATTTGGGGAAAAGATGGGAACCGTT